AAAGCTAAATAAAAAATCAGTTAATAAAGAAGTTTATTTTAAGCTTTTGACTTGCTCCTATTTGGTACCTTTTCTAATGCACTGTTCATTTTATTACCTATCCAGTTGCTCCCAAATTAGCTATGTCAACAGTTTCTTCTGTTCAAGTTGCAAACCACAAGAGAGGTAGGAATTCTTGGATTCATACAGTGATTTCGTAGTGTTACGTGTTGTGAAAACATTGCACTGTATGAATCTGGAATAGCTGTGAAGTGTTCCTATCAGCTTATTGGTGAGGCGTTTTCATTGACGATAACAGAAGCATTAATTCACACAAACATAAGCCATACAAGAATATAATAGTAAATATGTTTCCTAGATAATTGCTACTGGCATATAAAGTCACCTGGCAGTTGTTTTTAAAGGAAATAAAAATGAGAATGTGACCATGCCTAGAAAGCAACTGTTTGCTAGAGACTTATTTTCCTCACAAATTGTAAAAGAGGAAACGTAAGCAGATCAGTTGAAGGCAAACAACATGTAAAACATCAATTGCCCATATCCTCAAGAATTATCTGTAAATGCTGTGGAGGGTATATATAGTCTTTTAATGCATTGTAATTGTGCCTTACATCTTCATTTTCTTGTAAGCGTGTGCAAATTCCAAATGGAGGCATTACATTTTGAACTGATGCTTCAGTGTTTTATCAAAATAATGGAATTAAATGGGCCTAACGAAGGATGCCAGTATCCTCTCGGTGACTTGCAGGCAACCTGTTCCATTTGCACATCTCTCATCCACAGTCTGAACACTCGCCCTTGCACCCAGACAAACTCACTGTTTCTTTCTCATCAATTTACTTGTAAAATTATGTATACAATGTTTTGTCTTTCTGTAGCTACTGTGAATATCTCATTACTCATGAAATACATGTTACTAAGGAACTCCTGGGATATTAACAAATATTTGAACTTAGTTTGACCCGTTTGATGAGATCATGATGATGAGCCATACTGTTTGTTACAAAGCAGGTTATTTCTGGGGTTGTGATGAAAATCTCCTTTGTTTGCCTTTTGCTAGCATACAGAAGAGGACCATAGAGTTGTTAGAAAATTAAAAGCCCTTTATTTTTGAGTAGACCTTTCTTGAAATACGCCTTGTCTTTTAATTAAAAAATGACACTGATGGCTGTCTCATGCATTACCTTTGTAATGTCTTAATTTAAAAATGATGTTTCCCTTCTATGTGTGCACCTTCCATCATTTCATGTGGCTGACAGGTCCCAGCTGAAGGTTGAGCTGAACCTTGTCCACACAACACAATAGTATATTCCTCTCCAAAGTGTCCACGCTTAGCCTTGCAATGGAGAAAAAAACCCTAATATTCAATTCACGGAAACAAAGGAGTTAAATGAGTGACCTTTCTATGGTTGCCTGTGAAGGGATAGTTTCATTTTGCTTTGTACAGCAGCATCTGGGTTGTTGCAATGGCATCATTGCACGAAAATCACCTTTAAAGGCTCATACAGTCAGTCCTCCTGCAAGTTCCCAGTCACCCAGACGCAGCTATCAAATCTAGCCCAGCTATCACTTCCCCCTTTATTCTTCACGTTAAACGTACTGGCTACCTTTACTTTTCCTTTGAGGTTTTATTTTCCAAACCATTTGCCACTTACCGTTCTTCAGCTTAAAAACTGTCTGCAGTTTATCCATGTCGTGCAGCACTCGGAAGCAAAGCAGCATTTTCCAGCACTGGAGGCCCTTGTCATTTTGCTGTCCTTAGACCATTTGCAGTCTGGCTTTGGCCGCCCGTCTCCCATCTCTTTCAGGGACTGCCAGTGATTGAAGGTGGTTGGGCTGCCAGCCAGAGCCGCGCGTGCGAGCACCCTCAGTGGCTCTTGTGGCCGTTGTGGCGAGCAGGCTCCGTTCTGGTGTTCGTGCCGTGCTCGGGGTGAATCACCCGAGCAGCTACGAAGCCCGTGCGGCGCTGACGGGTGTTGGGTTCCCCGCTGCCGTGCTGAGCACAGCTCGACGGTTTGGGTTTGACTGGCGCAGGGTAACCCGCCACGGCAGCGTTACAAAAAATACATAACTTTTGTGCATCGGAAGATCCTTTCCATAGTTTGTGTTATATAACTACTTCTATAAAACTAGAAGAATGCAAAAAATAATCACTGATAAAGCCAAAAGGAACAGGCAAAATAAGTTCAAATTCTTGTATTAGCAAAATTTTGATTTAATAACAAAATAACATTAGCTACAAGTCAGGACCTTTTTTCCCTTTGCCCTGTTGCTATCTTTAATCAGCTATTTGACTGTTGCAGGGTTACCTGTTTTTTTTCTATACCATGTAGCATTTACCAGTCTGAAAAATCAAGAGTTCAGCATTTCCTTTAACTCGTGCCCCATGTTAACGTCAAAACAAAACAGGTCGTTTCTTTCACCCGGCGCAGAAGGCAGCACCCCCATGAAGGCAGCCTCTCCCTGCGCACGTTTCGTAGCTACGGAGCCCCGCGTGGCCCGCGGCCCCTCTGACGTGACCGCGTGTAGGTCACGCTGAGCCGTGGGAAGCCCTGGATGCTTCGTCCAAGGGGTAGCCTGGGGCCAGCCTGGCTCCAGCAGGGAATTGCTTTTCGTGCAGCTTTGTTTCTCGTGCTTTTCTACCTGCTAATGGTGTCTTGTGGTAGCGCTGAAGGTCGCACCACAATTTTGGAGTGCATGAAATGCAGTTATTCATTCACAGAAGGGTCTCCATATTTTCTGCTATTTTAAACACCAGATGACGTAGCAGAAGCTGATACACTGCCACTTCTTTACAGTCTACGTAGTTTTGTAACATAAAAATACAATGTTATTCTGCTGCCTGTTACTGCTAGGAAAAGCAAAGTAAATTATTTCCTCTAAATTTACCTGTAGGGTGGTTACGGGTAGTCACAAGCCTTACTGACCAGCTACAAGACAAGAGATATATTAACATGTTTTCCCTTCCTGTCAAGTTGTACCTGATACACCTAGAGCTGACAAAGACTAGATACATCATTAAGAGTCCAAAGCAACTAAAACCAAGTGACAGAAGCAACACTTTACTAAAATTCCTTTTGTGAATGCATGCCGGTTAATTATCACTTGATTTTATAGTTATATTTTGTAGCTACAAGTATTTTTTTTTTAATTTAGAAATTGAACTAAGATACGTAGAGATTGATCACATCTGTGAATGTGAATACATATATGATACAAAAATCATTGCATCATATATGTATCGAACTCCAGCAGATACAGGTGTAAAAATCATCAGGCTCACAGGAACATTGGTATAGCTAAACATTGGTTTAGCTGTATAACATTGAAGACGACAAGTATCTATGCAAACTGAGTGTGTATATGAGAACCAAATTAATGTTTTCTGGCACCAGAAAGGCAGCTCTGAAGATTGAAATGCAAGTTGTGCTAAAAACTGTGCAGTACAGGAAAAGATACAGTCTATTTCCAATCTGCTGCTATCAGACAGAAAACTAGGCACAAATATTCTATCTGAATTCCTGGCAGCCCTCAGGAGCAGCCCCGTGCCAGAGGAAGGGCAGCCCGTCACGTTTATGGCGGTGTTTGACGCGCTCCTGTGCAGCTTTACCAAGGGGGAGCCCCAGTGACCCCCAGACCCCGCGCTGCCCTGGCCCTGCACCGTCCCGCTGCTGCGAGGAACGGCTCCTGATCGCCGGTACCCGCCTATCACACGGCATCCCCAAAGTGCCCCTTTCTGGGACAAACTGGATGCGTGCCCCAGAACCTCCGCACCCTCATGGCTGGCAAGGGGCTCCTAATTTCAGCTGAAATTTCTCAGTGGCCACTTAGCACCCATTTGTTCTTGTGCCAGTGTGATTCATTAGCTCAGCTGCGCGCCTAGGTCAGCAAAGGGCTCTCTCTTCTTGATGCATTTGTATCCCGCAGGTACATCGCCTCACAGCCCTTGGTTCTGTAGACTAAACAAACCAAATTACCCCAAGTCTGAACTTATTAAATAGGCTCTCCACTGCTCTGATCCTCCTAATAACTTTTTCTGCATTCATTCTGGGCTCATCATCCCCGAGATGAGTTATTGCACTCGTCCGGCCTTCTTACACAAGGCAGAGCGGTGCCTTGCATAATGATACAATTTTCTAATTTCTACTTGCATAAAAAGCCACACGTTGTTTATGATTAAAAAAAAATCATAAGAAGCACTGGATTTTATCTCTAACAGAAGGTTTCTCAAAAAGCGGTGCAGCCTGCATTTCAGGTGGCTACAACAGACCTGCTTTCTATTCAATACACTGTTCAGACTTTTCAATGTCTTTTCTGGCCTAGTTGCTTTTCCCCCTCTCGATATAAAAATGGGTTGTTTGCCTCAGAACTACAGTAGAAATGGCACTTAAATAACACCTCTGTTCCTTCCTTTTCTTCCCTCTTAATTGTTTAGAAAGTGCTGGCCAAAAGCATCAAACTTGAGGCTGTTTGGTCTTGAAGCAGTTTGGTTCTTGTCTACAGGGTGTCTACATCTGCAGTACCCTGAGTCCAGCAGCAGTCGTGAATACTCAGCCCTTGTGTCAAAGCAAAGCTCTTTCGTATATGGTTGTGGGTTTAAGTATGCTCAAGTTTGACCCTTTTGTCCACTGCATTTGGTATTTTTAACATGAGGAACTCGTGCCCACGTCTCGATTCGCACTCACCTCGAGCGTGCAGAGCGCGGGGCGCTTGCAGGAGCGGCGCCCGCGCCTGCCGTGCCCTCCAAGGTTCACAGCTGCCAATGCTCCAGTGCCACCGCCGCGCCGTGGTGCCCGGCTCGCTCCGCTGCCTGAATCCGAGCTCGCTTCCATTGCAGATAAACATCTGCTGCTGTCCATGTCACATCGATGAACGTGTCTGTGCCATCCATTCATACTTCTACTCATGATTCATTTTTACTGAGCATGTGATGTGCGATGACTCTGCTGCTGTATACATTTTGTATACATTCTGTATACATTTCTGTTCTTCCTTGAAAGACTGTGAATGCTTCGGCCACTCCAACCGGTGCAGTTACATCGAGCTGCTCAATACGGTCATTTGCGTGAGCTGTAAGCACAACACTAGAGGTCAGCACTGCGAGTTATGCAGGCTGGGCTACTTCAGAAATGCCTCTGCAGAGCTGGACGATGAGAATGTGTGCATAGGTCAGTCCCGGGCTAACTGCGCCTTTTCTTCTCTGCCTTTTCAGCCCGCGGGCCACAATGAGCTTTTTCAATGGGGGGAACATCTTTGGGGACTTGAATCTAGTTGTCTCAGCCCTGAGGAGGTGGTTCGGTCTGCAGGGAGATGCCCCTCTGGAATGACTTGTGTGTAAAACACAAGGACTGAGCCACAAACCCTTTTCCCCGGGCTGACTTTTGCCATTATTTGTGCAGGCCCTCCAATACTCATCCACAAAAGTCACCAGCTGCTGGATTTTGCAGCAAATCCAGTACTGTAAAAGCTGCCTCAACTGCCTCTCCTCGGAGGAGGGACTGAAATTGCGCCCTTGCAGTTAGGAGTAGGGCTTGTCAAATCAGTTTGACATTGGGTCAATTTAGAAGAAGGGTTCCTAGGTTAAAAGAGTGCTTTAAACCTAGCGTCTGATATCAATACCCAAAATGCAGAATTAAAGAAAACATTAGAACATAATAAAAATAGCATACTAGGAAAAAAATGTGAGATCTTTGTCACACTAGAAGAACATGCATCATGCTCACATCACTGCAGAGCTTACACAGAGAAGGGAAGTTCGGACCAAGGCTGAACTCGGCCATCTGAGGAAGCCTCTGTCCCTGGCTCGGGTTAAGCAGCAGCCACTGAGGGCAGCTTTCTAGCAAGAGTGGGAGGATGGCATCACATGCGATTGCTTGTGGACAAAAGCAGCAGGGGAACCCACTCTGAATTTCTACTGTAACTTTTTATTTTTCGCTTCCAAGAAGAAAAAATAAAGTGGGCATACGATTTTCACACAGAAATAGCTGGTGGGCACATAAGTTATGTATTCCCTACAATCCATAGCTAAGAGTCAAGCCAGAAACTGTTTGGCAAAATGCTATTATTTGTTTCAGTCTGCAGCCAGTCAGATTTACATTTTATGTCATGATAAGCACCCCGATCCATCCACGCACTGCATTTCATGTGTCCTTCCTTTAACTTTGCTTGGCAATGCATTCGAAAATGCATGATCTCCTCTGACATTAATTAGGATGAGCTAATATGAACTTTAGTAAGCAAGTCATGACTTTGTATGACTCTGCTGAGGGGATTAACCCAATCCAATGTTCCTGAAAAAAGCACTGTCCCTCATGTTTGCTTGATGTAGATGAGGGACATCATTGGTGTGACATCAGGGTTGTTTAATTTAAACTGTCTAAACAGGCCTAATGAAAATGACACTAAATTACTCTATTTGGGATTTTTCATCAGCTCGTTCAGTAAATTGTCATCCCATGTACACTGAAATGCTAAGACAGCATCTGTAGCTTTGTCAGTGAAGCAAGGAAGATGATAAACCAGGAGTCAAAAATACCTACATTTTTGTTAATTTGCAAGTGATATATTTAGAATTTCATTGTAAAATAAACAGTTGTGCAGTTTAGAACTGCCCAGACTGTGCAGAAATAAAGTAAAAAACACAAGAAAACAAAAATTCTATGATTCTATGATTCTATGAAAACAGCATAAAAACACACGTTTCATTTAAAAGAAAGCTTCTCCCCAAAAGCTGCGTGATGCATTTACAGACCTCCCCACACTAGTGCAAGTAGAACTGGTCCATGGGAATTGACTATGGGCTCAAAACATATTTGGCCACAGATAAGGTAAAATATTTTCAATAACTAACAGTCCTGCTGGACTGTTGAGGAGCACAGTGATGGTCCAGCACAGAAAACCTGTGAACCCGGCCAAACCAGCGACGCAGGCAGCCCTCCTGCTGCTGCAAGCTGGAAGTCAGGGGAGCGAAGCAGATATTTCAGTTCTTTCCTGGAAACAGAGATCTCTCTTTAAAGGGCTTTTTTGTCTTTTTTTCTGAACTGGGGCTCCTGAGATTTAATTCTGAAAAATGTTGAGTATTCTCCACTCAGAGAGCTGATGATTTGCCATCTTTCTGGGTCAAGCACAAAGAGTCTTGCTCTATTGGAAATGCTCATTTTTCTTTGAGTTTAAGAGCGGTAAAAAAAAATGAGTGGAGCGTTGGCATGAACATTTAATAAGCAGATTTCCTGAGACATATGCAAGTCTTATTCCCATATAAAAGTCTAAGTTAATTCTTTCCTCTCCAGCCATATATTTAGAAAAATCAGAAATGTTTGGATAAGTCAGTTTAATGGCAGCTAACAGGGTTTTGGCTCTGATTTAGCAATACCTCTTAGTTTTAATAAATATATGTGGTAAGTATACAGATAACAAATATGTGAATCTTAGCCAATGTTAAACTAAATGGAGAAAATGTGAAATGTTTAAATTTAAAAGTGACAAAGCTGCAGAGAATTGAGATACCGAGAAGGATTTTGCCTTGTGAATCAAGTGCAGCTACATTATACAGTGGGCTTAAATCTAAATTTATTATGCCTTTAGTTTCTTTAGTTACAAAATACATTATTTTTATTTCCCACATAGAAATATTAAAAATTTTTGGATTTGTCAATTAACTTCAAAATTACCTCATATGGGCAATGGCAAGTTTTAAATAAATCTATTTAATTTAAAGTAAAAAAAAATAATTAAATTGACATGCTCATCAGGGGGAAAAATGTTTAACAGAATTTGAAAGGATTTTTATTTTTATAATGTCTTAAGTGCTAAAAATGTCTAAGCCCTGACAATGCTTTAATTTAGTGAATATGCTTGCAAGCATGGCTAGCGTGGACATGACCAAGTAGACCCAGAGTAATAAATTCTTTTCTTTGCCTTTTGAAATAAATGTTCAAATGGTAAATACTGCCTCGCACCCCTAACAAAGCCAGCCTTGCAATCACTTGGGCTTCACCTACATTTAGCACCTGCAAGAGCCTTAGCGACTCTGATGGTGCATGCAGTAAGTGAAGCTTGAGGGTTATTTCCTTATTTTCAGGGTATTTTGTCGGCAGCACCCAATTAATATAGTGAATCACAGCGAACAGATGACTGCTACTGTCACCTCGCCACCCTTAGAGCCGTCCTCACAGACTGAAGTTGGGAAGAAGTTTCCTTCTCAGTCCAGACGAGCAAAGACTGTTTTGTTCCTGCTCCAACGCTGGCGCGTGGCGTCGTGCAGGGCTGGGCGTGCTACTTGATGCCCTGCTGCTGCAAGGGCATTGATGCTACCCAGCGTCTACCTGGGACGCGCTGGAACTGGGGCACTTGCTCTTACTCATATCTGAAGGTGCTGGGAAGTTTCACAGCCTGCTGTTTTGTACCAGCCCACGTTTGGTTACCAAATGTTCGTGGGCCTACGGTCTACGCTGCCTTGCAGTTTGACCTGCAGCCTGTGTAAAAGGGCTTAGCTTACAGGTTTATTTAAGGGAAGGACGACACTGAAACAGCAAAGCACAAACCTGGTCCTTCTAACATACCCATGAGACAGCATTCGGCAGGAACACATTCACTGACCCTGGGTCTCCTCTTTCTTTGGACCACATATGTGTCGAGCATTCAATACCAAAGTCTTACTTCCATAAACACTCATTTAAATGACCTTATATTGACCTATGCTACTTTTAAGGCATGTGAATTAGGCCCTGTGCCCGTGATTCCAAGCTTTTTGTCTTTCAAGGTGCTCTATAAACACTCCTTAAGCAAACACGGCTTCCTGCGTTCTGCTCTGCCTCACTCTGGGCCTGTTTACAGCAGGGTTTCATACCTGTGATTAACATTAGAATTGCCAGCTTTGCAGGTGGTGCTCACTGAGGTACAATCACGCTCAGGCTTGCACAGTACTGTTGGCATTTCAGTATTCAGCTCCATTAATGAATGTTGTTAGCTAATTGACTGGGCTATTATTGTGGAACCATGTTTGCCAAAGGTAGTTACTATGCTCCTTTAGCATTCCAAATGTCCCAAGTGTCATCTGCAATTTATAGCTAATAAACACTGCAACAACAGATGACAAATGTGTTTCTGGTAGCATTTTTTCTTGTTAGTTTTTACATAGGATTTTTAAATATTTCACTTTCCAATTAAACTCCATTTTGTCATTTGCAATACTACAGAGTTTCGTATAATGTTAGAGAACAACTGCCAAAGACAGTCATCAAAATAACACCATTTTAAAGACATATAAAGCCAGACTCCCAGCAGGTTGCCCATATTCAGGAATCAATTTGTATCTTTTGCCTTTAGCAGCAGCAGAGATCAGAGAAGCTGCCAAAACCTAAGTGTGTCCATGGTGTCAGTTAACAGTGAAGTTACTCTGGGTCTACATTGGTCTAGATACAAATAAGATCTGGTCCTTCAGTGAAAACAAAAAAAGAGGAGGGGAGGAGGAAAAAAAAAAGAACAACAGGAATGTTAAAAATGAGCTGTGCTAGCAACAGCCTTGTCTTATTTACTAGCTAAAAGCTGAACATTGATTTTGTAATTACATTAAAGAAAAGGTCTGTAAATGAAGGAAAAAAAAAAGCATATTCCCCTACAGTAAGAGTTGCGGGAGGAAACTGGTTACCCTTCCGGAATGAGGTCAGCTCACATGTGGAAAATACACAGCAGGGAGTCAGCCCCACTGCGTCTTCCATCTACCCACTGGGATGCGAGAAAGTGGAATGGAAAAGGCAGGTGCAAAACCAGTTCTGAGCAAGTTTCACCTTGCCTGCCTGCTTACCTCAAGTATTATCCTTGTAGAATATGTAGAAAGGTTAACTAATCTCTGAGAAATACACTGTCATCAATTTAATGGCAAATAGCCATGTAAGTTCATATATTACTCCAAACTATAAAGGAAGACTATCTTGGAAATAAGTAAAGTGCATTTATATAGCCCAATAAAGACATTCAGCACTTCTCAAAATATTGAGCAGTATAGATAAGCCTATTTTAATAATGTAAAACATTCCACTCTAATGGCATATTGATATATCCATACTATACAAACCTTTCTTAATGTTCATTAAGCTGTCAAAAACATTCTTACCAAAACAGAATTTCTGTTAAAACCACTTACCCTCAAAGATTATCCTCCTCTTCCTTTTTATCTTCTCTGTTTACTTTTCTCTTCACCCCATAAAGGGTCTCTGCCTGAAACGACATGTGTAAACAAATAAATGGGGCTATAATAATTATATCCACTGCTCCATATATCACTAATAGACAGTCTTCCTTTAATACTGGAAATGCACCCTTTATTGGTATTGAATGACTTACTGCCGTACGTAGCCCTGAATCCAGTGTGTGTGTTGTCTTGTTTCTGCAGACTGTTATTGTAACCCTTTTGGGTCAGTCCATGATCGCTGTAATGACAGAGGATTTTGTGAGTGTAAGGAGGGAACCTCAGGGCCTAAGTGTGATAAGTGTCTGCCGGGATATATCTGGCGCAGCTTGGGCTGCCAACGTAAGTAACCGTGGGAGCTGCCCCTCTCGTGCAACCCCGCTGCCTCGCGCAGAAAGGAGCTCAGCCCCGGGAGCTCCAGCAGCGCCCGGTCCCCGCGCCTCGCGGAGCCTCCTCTCCTCTGGCTGTGCTTCAGCGGCCTCCCTCTTTCTTTTGCTAATGCCTGCAGGAGCTCCCACTGAAATACATAAATATGCGTGACTTACCACTGTGAAGTACGTTTTTGGTACTGAAACATCAGCACATGAATGCAGACATGAACATTCGTACTAAAAGACAAAACATGATTTTCCTGCATGTTCACTTTATTCTGTGCCAAACTTTTTAAGTAGCTTAATGGTGTGCTTGCATACCTTCAACTATGTCTATAAGTGATAAAAATTGCAAACAAAACAATGTCTTGTTACCCCATGTAATAGTGAAAATTGGGCAAAAGGCGAAGCTAAAAAGTTGAGCTATACTTAACCACCTTAAAAATAGGTGCTGAAATTTTGCGTAAATGTTGTTTGAAGAAGATGTTTCAATGCTCAGCTCTATTTTTATCTTTGTTCCTAAGTAACAGGGATCTTCTAAACATCTGGGTGCACATACTACATCAGGACAGAATTAGGATTTTATTACCTCCTACTTTTGTTGTGGATTCTTAAGATTTATTCTTTGTAACTGTTTTGTTCACCTACTTCCCCAAACTCAGGAAAATCTTTTTATGTTTTTCTTTCACCTTTTCTCCCTGCCTCTCTGAGTTCTTCTTCACATGTATTACAGAGATTTCTACAAGGGCTCACTTCTGATTTATAAGACTGAGAAACACAAGAGAAAATGTAATTACTGACACTAATTAGCCAAATATTATAAAATTTGCTGTACTGCCAAACATTATACAATACATTAAAACAAATGCAAATCATAAATCACAAGCAATAAAGATTGAAATTACTGCTTTCCTCTCTAAATGATGAATATTTCAGAAGTAGAAAAACTGGGACAGTTCATGTAAGTGACAAATATGTTCACAGAGAAAGACCCAAAAATGGAGAGTTTCAGGAAAATAGTGATAATTAACCAATTAGCTTTAAAGTGAGGGAAAAAATGAAGAGAAATAATGTTTATGTGGACAAGGCTGCTAGATGTTATTCAGGAAAATAGGACATCCTTTGTTTTTGCCAAAAACTCCTGTTTATATTTGGCAGGTTATATAAACCATACTTTTTACATGTGGTTGTTAACTGTCTTCTCATTTCAGGATGCCTACGCTTGAGTATTATTCACAAAAGACCAAATACTTACAGTTGCAACAAGAATTAGTCAAAAGAAAGTTTTAAATATGAGTCTTGTATTATTAACATGAAAAATTATATCATTTGTGTCTCAAAGTAAGTTTTAAAAATCACAACATCTTCATCTGCTTGTGTATTCCGTATGTAGAAGGATGCTACCACCCTGTATCACCTCTAGATGTTGGCAAAATAACCATCAGCATTTGTGAAGCACTGCGATATCCTAGTAATAAGAATTTTAGGAAAAAAAATATGCAGCAGAAATTGAATCAAGTACAGTGAATACTACAGCCACATGGATAATATTGGGCATAAGTAAGATACTAAGTAGCTGAGATATTGAACAAGGCTGCGTCTGTGGAGGAAATCATACAACCATACAACTAATGATAATATAACAACGTACCAGAGGCAAATTGGTTACATACTAATAGCAGCATTTCCTATCTTTTCAGGTTTTGACATCATAACCTCAATAATTTTCTTTTAATGAGGATTTTTTGTGTCCAGCATATAATTAGCCTGACTTTAGCTGAATCAGAGTTTCTGGAAATGCAACCTAGCCCTTTTGTATTTACTGACAAAATTAATTGTCTCTCACTTTTATAACTTTCTAAACAAATCTCAATCTCACCACATAAGCTAGACCAAGTCATCTAATCAAATTCAGAGGAAGAACTAGATGCAGTTGTCAGTTTTATGGAACAGATATAATTGCCATGTTTTACCAGGCATACAGTGATTTAAATCTGTTGATTTAAATCAAGTCTCTTCATGGAGGAACAGAATTCCAATTCATTTAATTTTGTAGCAAAGCAATTTTAGTTGCATTTATGATTTTCGCATTGAAATCTAAACAAATGCCTGGGCAAGCAAGCAGATCCAGTGCAAAGGAAAAATAAGAAAACATCCTACCACATTAGCAAAACTTGAAAGGATTATTTGTCTGAACAAGTAGTGTGTGTTTCTGATTTGATTTCCCTGAGCTTGTGCTGTACAGAAATACATATGTACAAAAAGAGACACACACACACACACTTAAAAATAAAATCTAAAAAAAACCCAAACTTTTGTCATAGATAGCCTATTGGTATTATTAATGAATGCTATTTTTTTTTTGCAAAGCTTTATTACTAGACATCACTAACGTAGAAAAAATGGAAATTTGACCTATAAATAAACAAGGCGAATCTATACTGTAAACTGTTTAATGACTCATATGATTGTGTTAGCAAACAAAGTGACTTGGCTTTAAAAATTAGGAAATCATGTGGGGAAAAACAACCATGAAAGACCAATTGTGGTCTAAGGCTCACAATACCTGATTTGATAAAGTACCATTCAGAGGCTCCTGTGCGCAGACCCTGGCATCCTCAGGAACGTTCATTTAGGCAGCTCACTCACCCATCCCATCTCGCACCTTTGGGGTCTGGGCAGAGAGCTCATCACTTGCGTCCCTGAGCACATGGAGGTCAGATGCAATTTTAGACTTTGCCTCCCAGATAAAAGGCACCACAATAAGGGCTGTTGTCTCACTGAATTCAGCATTACCCTGCACAGACCCGGGGTCAGCAGGTCTGGTGGCTCAGGCAGATTCTTGCTCACCTAGTTCCAGCTCTTCCCTGGGGCTGCCGGGGCTTCGCTCCCCACTTGCAGTGGGTGTCTCAGCCACACACGTGTTGGATCAAAGGGAAAAGAAGGAATTAGGAGCAGAACAAGCTGAAACTGTTTTAAATTTCCAGAAACATGAGAAATATCAGAATAGCTATATTTCATTTTTATCTTCTAGAAAAATATAGAATTTTCTCTAAAATACACATAAAAATAGAATGAAAAAGTCTAAGCCAGGCAGGAGGATTAACCAACAACTACAGCTTTTTAGGACCAGTGCTAAAAGGAATATAGCACTTTGTGATAAGGGGAAGCCTATAACAATGTGGAAACATTCACACTCTGATGATCTGCCTGAATTTACACAAAAGGGTTGAAGCTAGGCAAAATACTATCCAGGGGCATTCATCTGCTGTTCCAAGTTACTGGTCACAGTTCTGCATCTTTTGTATTTTTTATCCCTGACATTTCAGGTGACTGAATTGGGTTGCCTGCGTGCCGGGGCACTCGAGAAGCACAGCCTTTAATTCCACACGCGTGAGAATTGATTCCAAGAACAGCTGCGTATTTATCCAATCCGGCAAAGAGCAAGGGACTCTTTTGCCCATCACCTCTCAGCAGCACAGCCGAATTTTCATTAGGCATGATCATCCCGCGGGGGAAAAGGTCAGGGAAGGTCCAACGATTAATATTACTCAGAAAATCACTGCCTCCCTTCATATAGTCAATGAGCAAATAAAGAGGTTTAACCTTGAGTCCTGCAGCCAGATCCCCATCAAGGCCTAGAAGGGCACATGGGAGCTCCCAAATGCTGTCTTGCTCCTCAGTTAAATTCAGGGCAGCCACTGCTTTGAATCATCTTGTTGCAGGGTGTAAGTCTTAAATAATTAGCAAATGAGTTTCTAGCTAGATACCCTATGTCGAGCTCTGAATGGTTTGTTTTACCCTTTTCTTCCATTTTGTCAGGCAGAGGATTATAGTTACACTCTTATCCTTAATGTTCAATCTGTGCTTAGTGCTTGCAACTTCTCCTGGGAATGAACTTGATTTAAATGCAAACATTTCTTTTATTGTCTGCATTTTGTCAGGTCTTATAAACATTACAAGCCGAAGTATTTGATCAAAAGCATCAGGCAGACTAAATTTCCGAAGAAAAACATCTAAAATTCCGATCCTTAGAATTATAGTGACCGACCTGTGAATTATACTAACATTTGCTTTTGAAGGTTTACGTTCACAATTCAATGTGAAAAGGTTTGCTATCATCAATTCCTTAAAAAAAAAAAAAGGATATATATCATATATATCTCAATATATCTCATACTCTTTTCTCTAGAAAGATTAAAAGCATAAATGTATTTAACTATGTGAATACAGGGTTTGGATATTACAAGGGCAGACTGTGCTTTAGGCTTCTCCAAAATAAAGCCAGAATAATTCTCCTAAAATCAGTCTAGAACCACACTGCGATAACACAGGGCAAAGTACAGTTTAGAGATGTAAGGACAAACTAGGCAAAATTACAAAAAAAAAAAAAAAATAGTTAGTGGCTCTGATTCTCAGAGGGTACAAAATACTGTGATTTCACTAACATCAGGGGAAGAATGCTGAAATATTAGTGTATGTATCGCCCCATACTGATACCCAGGGTCTTTTAAATCTGAAAAAAAGACATTAATGTGCTTATTAATCCATTAATTCCAATACCCATGGCCTGCAGAATAATCATGTGTCTACAGTGATACATAGAAAACACCACTATCAAAGTATGAACATCATGGAATGTCATTACTTTTTAATAAGGGACTGGAGTGGAAGGAGGTTATCTCTCAAGAAAGACGATCTTTCAGGTCAGGAAACCAAGTGTCAACAGAAAATACAAACACTGCAGCTAATGAAAATGATTAAGTGAAGCCGCTTTTGATTTTGAAGAGCACAGAGGAGATGAGGGCACCGGCTGCTTTGCGTAATTACAGCTCTGTGCAGCTCCTGTCACTTACAGGCAGGTTGAGGATCAAGCTGGAAGTCTCAAGCCGGGTCTTAGCAGAGCTTCCCACGGGCATCACGGCAGCAGAACAGGCCGTGGAAGGACCAGACTTGCGGGACACGATCTCA